TGCAATGATTTGATTAGGTTCTGATTAAAATCGGCGCATATTAATTATCTAATTTGTGACTTTTCCATGGATAAATTCATAAACCACTTGTTTGTCGCATACGACTTATTTACCACTTCCGTGTCACTGAGAATGTTCTAGAACCATACTGTGTCTTGGTGGAATATTCTAGATTTTTTTTTAGAAACTGGTTGAATAGGTAATAGAACACTGTAGGAGGCAATAGAAGGTAATGGAACATTCTAGAAATTTATAGTAAATTCCAGACTCATTATGTATGCTGATGTAATGGTCTATTTATAGACAGTGTGGGTATATATAGGGGAGTTGTTCAGCACCGAGTTCAGATCGGAGATCTCGTTGAATTGTGTTGGAGTTTAAGTATCTAGTTATTGGAGTAGTGGAGTTTTACCGCGTTATTGTACTTGATGTCTGCAGAGTATAATTATACCAGTACCAGTTGAAACCTCATCTGTTGGCTCCGTGTTCGTATTTTATCATCGCCGCCAGGGAAGTCTTTATGTTACTGTTGCCATTTTGGTATTTGAACCATTACACCAGTACTAAACCAATTACGGTAATATTGCGTTGCGTGTGACATTGTTGAATTTTAATGAAACATGGTACACAGATGCTCTGGGACAATGTGCAGACCTGATAATACATAATGATTAGTAAATATGTAGCTTTCCACTGATATCTCAGATACTAATCACATTACAATGAAACTTGGCACATAAAACATCATAGGACAATGCACCTGATAAGTGTTTGGCTAATATTGTTGTATCGTTATACGTGATGTTTAAAAAATTATTTTCTATGCTATGCAAAGACGAAACCTGAATTGTGATACGAGTTTTCTTGATTAGCCCTCATATGTGTAAATATATACTTTATATCTGATTTTTACTTAAAGGCCGGTGGCCTATGTACTTGAATAAACCTATTATTATTAATATTGATGCATATTAATTACCCAATTTGCATAATTATTAGTTGATTTTTGGTATTTCCATCAGTATCTCAAATACTAATCATCACATTACAATGAAACTTGGTACATTGATGGTCTGTGATGTTCAGATTAAAGTCTGTGCATATTAATTTCCTGATTTGCATAATAATTAGTCAGTTTTTAGCTTTTCCATCAATATCTCAAGTACTTATAATCTTATTTCAATGAATTTTGGTACAATACTCTTAAGACAATGCAAAGTTTTGGGTTTATATACATCCATAATAATTACCTAATTTGCATAATAACTTACTTTTTGGATTTCCATCGTTTTTTTTTTTTAAATTAATCATCACATTATAATGAAACTTTGTACAAATGTGCCCTGGAATATTACCCAGTTGTAATCAGAAGTCATTTAGAACAAAAAAAACACTCTTTCTACATGTCGAAAGTGCATTTTGTTTTCTTTAAATACAGTATCGTCTAACATTGATATTTTCTTATTTGAATCTGTAGATTGTTCTGTACCATATGGTTTAGTCCTAGGTGGAACCGATGTCAATGAACTTTACAAAGATGATGACAAACTGGTTGTCATGACATTAGCTGTCACAAATGCAAGGTAACTGCTAGTTTCTTTTTTGAGCAAATATTCTTACACTTAATAATGAAGTCTCACCCCAAGATGATAGTTTTTGGTTAATTGGTGTTTTTCAAAAAAACAAATAATGTAATGTTTCAAATTTCAATGATTTTGAGCACATCACTTGTTTTTTACGTTTATCAGCATCTTTGAAACAAAATGACATTTACCGGTACAACTTCTTCTTGAAAAGTAGCAGCCCAATTGAGTTTTTTGACATGTACATCAATTTTTGTAACAATTAAATATATTGGTTAGATAAAGTTAGGTTGGTATGTTTATAACAGCCAGAACAAAACTTCTTTGTCTACTACAATGTTCTTGTAAGACAGTGCATGGAGCTAATTTGACAAGTGGGTCACTCTTTCTGAACTGTAAATAACTTATTTTATGCATACGTTTTCTTTAAATGGTTTTGAATGCATATCTCAGATTTAAAAAAGTTTGTGAACAATTGTACCTGAGCTCCAGATCTTCCATACATAAAATATGAATAAGTTAAATTTATTTTTGAAAAATGTGAGGCTTACAAATAAATTGTCATATTTCATGAATATAGTAGATAAACAATATGAAACTCTAGTTGACGTGAAGCTGAATTGCTGCTGTATCAAAATGAAGCAAAACTTCTTTGATCTCTATACTGCATTAATGGGCATTTCTTAGAAATTCAAGTGCTAATAATTTTGAATTCTTTTTTTTAATAGATTTATAATAGGATTTAGTAAACCTATGTATCAACAAGCTGTATGGCTTTGGGTAAGTTTTATTCCATACTGTAAACAGTGGAATTATTATTTATATGGAATTAAGTTCTGATTATTTTAGGTTAAAATTAATTACATGTTAATTACATTTCAGCTTTTCCACTGATATCTCAATACCTGATTATTGCATTTCAATGAAACTGGGGACATAGATGCTGGTGAACAATGCACCTTATAGTTTTGGGAATGAAATCCATGCATACTAATTACCTAATTTGCACAATAATTAACAAATGTTTCAGCTTATCCACCTGTAACTTAAAGAGTCAACTATTGCATTCCAATGATACATGTAACATAGATCCTGAGAACAATGCACACGATTTGGAACATGAGTGCCCGGGGTACTCCATAAGTTTTTTAAGTTTTTGGTTAAAATCTGACATGCATGTATTAGCATTTTTTAGCTTTTCCATATATACAAAATTTGATACATAAATGCTAATCCACTGCAAACCATGTATTTATTTTGTTTCAATATAAATTTTCTGTGAGTAATATAAACTTCATTACTGTGGATCACATTGTGCCATTCAAGTAGAAGACTTATACACGACTTTAGACTCCAGGCCATATTTCAAATTTTGAAATAATTTTAAATAGTGTATTCCCTATTTTTACTTCATATATGCCTTCCAATTCTCTCAGCACACAGAAGATCTTTCTAAGTTTTCTTTGATTATATTATGAAAACAGATATTTTAAGTACTAGTATATTAACCGGTATATACCGGTATACTATAATAAATGCATCTGTATGTTAATGATTGTTCATTGTTCTCTCAACAGCCTGATATTGCATGCAAACTTTGGGTACAACCACAAGGTGAGAATACATGGTGGAATCTTATACATTACAGTACCCCCTTAAGTGTGAACTGGTGTCACGGCCTGCCTATGGGGTTCCAGGTCATTTTTGTACTGTTACGTGATCGTCTTTTATTTTATTTTACCCATAAACCAAAAAGCACAATACAATACAGTATAGTACAATACAGCAAAATAAGGTATGATACAATACACAATATGGACAATACAATGTAACAATATATGATACAATACAATGCATATAGATGTCATATGTTTGCTATAATAAATTACAATGAACAGCACTATAAATTACCCAGAATTCTCTGATTTGAAATATTGGACATTGATTTCTCTATTATGCGGTCTGCTGTAATTGTTTTTCTGCTGTAGTATTTAGTATTTTACAGTGTGACCAGAATGTCAAATTTAGTTTATTCTTGTGAAAGACAATTTATAGAGTTATTAAAATTCTTTTAATTTTTTAGTTTTATTTACTGTTGACAAAGAACACTAGCAAAATATCAAAGTATTCAACCATTTGGATAAAAGATAAAATGAGAAAGATTTTGATAAAAAAAATGTACATTTGCAGAAAGCATGGTATCCACAGATAGCTGTCTACTGGTGACATTTACCAAACTATTAACAACCCATATATGTTATTACAAACCACATGCAATGCAGTATAAGATTCATTACAAGATAAATAAATGAACACAGCTAATTGTAAATCAGCACAGACTAGTTTAGAATAGAATAGAATAGAATAGAATAGAATAGAATAGAATAGAATAGAATAGAATAGAATAGAATAGAATAGAATAGAATAGGATAAAATAGAATAGAATAGAATAGAATAGAAATTGAATAGAATAGAATAGAAATAGAAGAATAGAATAGAATAGAATAGAATAATTAGACTACAAAATAAAAGAATAGAATAGAATATGTCTTAGAATAACTGATATACCAGTAGTGATATAATGTGTTGTATATTTCAATAAATACAATGTGTTTTTTTTACAGGAGTTATTACTACACCATCAGCTTCATTTAATTTCAAATATCATGTACATGAACACTGTGATGTCTCATATGATAGTCATATTTTTTTATTGGTTGCCGGTATTAGACCTGTCAAAGATCCTCTCTATATTGTACAAGCGTTTTCTGGTAAAATGACATTTCAATTTTTCAATTAAAATTAGTTTGTTTGTTTGTTAATTTGTCATTCATTAATCATTTGTAAAATTTGCAGCTGTATTATTTTTCTTATTGTAATTATGTTGACCTCTACAGAATGGTATTTGAAAGACAGTAATATTCACCTGGTCATTGTTGGGCCAGAAATAGACAAAGAATTGACCAAGACTGTGAAGGGGACTGTTGCCAAGTAAGAACATTAGATGTTATTTATTTTTGGTTTGATTGTGTGCAAAGCACAAATGAAAGGAAATGTTGTACTGATGTCTGTCTGGCTGTCTGTCTGTCTCTGTCTGTTTGTCCGTCTTTCTGTGTCAAATCTTGTTCCACTTATATTATAGGGGCCATGTAGACTGAATTGATATGAAAGTTGGAACCCAGCTAATATATCATGAATACCAGACCTGATTAGATATTAGTATTAATTTGCATATTAATCAGTTTTAGCACATGCATTGTTATTCTCTGCATCCGATCTATTTGTAAAAAGGCATTGAAACTTGGTACATGAGTGCCGTTTATGTAGATCAAAAACTAATAACAGCTTCTTATTTAGCTGTGCATATTAATTAGCAAATTTCCATACTAAATAACTGTTTTCACTACCGGTAATGTTTATTCTGTGTCATATAACAAGATTTCTTCCAATTATCTATATCACTTAATTTATAGTGTAGTTTTATCACAAGCAAAATATAATATAAACAGTACTCTTCTTACAGACATAAAGCTGATGCCAAAGAATCTAATAATAGTTTTTAATTAGCTAATTTACATACTGTAAAATGACTAATTTTCACTGGGTTTAAATTTCACTGATTTACCATTTCAGGCATATTCAGTGGGTTTTAAATTCACAGTTTTATCATTTAGATAATGTGTTCTATGCTGAATTTCACATATTCGCTGGGTTTTAATTTAGCACATTTTCCAGTCAGCGAAATAAGCTAAATTAAAACCCAGTGAATAATTAACCCTTTTACAGTATTGTTTTCATCATGTTTTATTTGTATTGTAACTAAATGCACACTGTTTGTGTAGATATTAATTCGTCAAGTAACATACTATTTAAATGTTTTCAGCTAGATTATTCTGTATCATAGAAATACAAAAATGTAGTTTGCTTAAAAGACTTTGTACCCACTTTAATATATAACTGGCATTTAGTTGAATGTCTTTAAACTGTAAAACCATTTATTTTCACAATTTTTATGTTTTGAGCAGAGAAACAATGATCGAGCTGTATTATTATTATTATTACTATTACCATTTTCACATTTAGTGAATTTTAATAACTAAAAACCAATGAATAGTTAATTAAGAGTACTAATTAACTACCTTCAGCATATTTATTTTATATATTCACCAATACTGTTTTTTTAGTTTTATTACTGATTGATTTGTGAATTTTAATTCACAAATTTGCATATTAAGTACTGTAAGAAAAATAATTATTCACTGGGTTTTAATTTTGCTTATTTCACTGAGTGGAAAATGCGATAAATTAAAACCCAGTGAATATGTAAAATTTAGCCTAAAACACATTATCTAAATGTTAAAAATATGAAATGGTAAATTAGCGAAATTTAAACCCAGTGTAAAATTAATCATTCTACATAATTTATTTCCACACAAACAGCATGCAATTCTAGTTACAATCCATCTTCACTAGCCAAAGTCTAAGTTTATTCGGCCAAGCCTCTAAACAGACCTTGGCGGAACGACCATCAAATATGCGTATTCTAACAGCACCCCAGTAGTCAGTTGTTGCTAATCATTGTCCAATCAGTTTGCATGTTACAAATCTCTCTTTGGCATTTCATTAAACAAAATGCTGGCGCCCATGAATCGTGATATTTGTGATGATAAAATTGCGAAAGTTTTCTGTGTTGGTGCCCTCAAGCCTCATCAGGTACAGGCAATCAACGCAGTTTTGTGTGGGAAGGATGTCTTCATAGCAACAAAAACAGGAAGTGGAAAATCCCGTTGCTACTAATTTGGTACGTCCAAGCCGGTTGGGCGCCTTGTTTTGAGGCGCGCCCAATCAGATCTCACTGCTTAAGATATGCAATTCGCCTATGCGATATGTTATCGTGTAGAGGCCTATAGGTCGAAGACACGGGACCGTGCAATTCGGAAGATGGTTACAATCCAATGGAACCTTTTTTTTTGGTAGTCCATTTTTTGCAGCCCCTTCTATTCTGTAGTCCATTCATTGCTTCCAAATATAATAAATTCTCACATAAAGACATAAAGTGGTCAAAATGTTTCTTACCTGTAGGTTAGCTGGTGTTTCCATATTGCCAGTCTTATCTTTATTCGACATGCATGCAGCTATCAGAGATTCTTTTGCCTTGGTGAATTCATCTCTCAGTGAAGGAATGTCTGCTGCTATACTAGAGGTACAGTATAACATTGCTATAAAACATAGCACAACTATAGAAACCTTGCCCCTTAA